CCCGCGTCCCCCCGCAGGGCGGCTGGCGTGCTCACCCCAGGCTGGGCCCGCTTCTCCGCCACAGACCCTCCGCACGCGCACTGGCGGTACCCGTCACGTGTTTTAACTCCTTAAACGACTTCGAATGTAAGATGAGGGCAGATGAAGGCTTCCACGACATATTCTCTCTTCCCGCTCCATTCAGCAAGCAGTTACACGAAGATGCTGGCAGGGGTAAAGCCCAGGCTAGGAGGCTGAGGGAAGGGAGCCGAGGCTTGAGCTGAACAGGCCTGTTCAGGCTCTCCGACACAGGCCTTCTCTCTGTTAAACCTACTCCAGTTTCTCTTCAGGGTATCAAGTTTTATTAGAGGATTATTTATCTCTAGAAACCTACGACAGAAAGATAAACCAAATTCCACGTGAACTATTCATCCTTTCAGGCTTCAAAATAATAAAGTACTGGATTCCCCCCCGCACCCTTGCCGTTAATTGGAGTGCACCCCTGTAGAGTTTTAAATACCCAAGTCTGAACAAAAGTAGCAAGTCTTCCACAAGATAACAGCATAGATCATTCGGCTGAGTAAAACTTGTTACTTAAATCCCAACAACGAACAGCTATCGCTGATACCACTGCAATATATGCCTCTGGCTCCAAGCAGCCACGCATGGACTAATAATTGTGCCTCTGAAGAAAACGATACTCAGATGGTTAGCGAGACGGATGATTACTGTAACACAAAGATCAGATATGACTAGAAGTGTTTGATCCAAAGTCCATCTAATCCTGGAGCCCATCTCGGACAAGGACCTGCAGCAGCACTTCCCAAGGAAGACACGCTGTTTGCACAAAACGAACCACTATTGCTACTGGGGATAGTTCAGGAGAGCTCCGAGAAGCCACCGGCAGAGTTTGAACAACTCCTGAGCAGAGGGCACTGCCACACGCAGCAGACAACCAGCAGCCTCCCGCCAGTCAGCCAGAATCACATGTCCTGAGAAGCGACAAGAACAAAAGACCCCCCCAAAAAAAACTAAGGAAAAGCCAAATACAAAAGACCTACTATCTCATTTAAGACAAACTAAGAAGAAGGACTCGTTTGTTATCTTTATTTTCCAATAGTACATTTAAACAACTTCTCAGGACTAACCTCCTCAGCCAGTTTGGCCATGCAGAAAACATTTCCTAGGTTATACAGATCGCCTACGACAACACATACAACGGCTCGCGGTTGTACTGTAGAATAGAGAAGGGAAGTTGTATAGAAGGAGGCAGCTGGAGTTATGCGAACGCATGTGGTGCAATGGCAGTGCTACGGGTGCGTTAGCAGAGGCCACTAACCGGGGCTCCGCAGTGGCACAAAAATAGGAGGGGTGGCTGCACGCAAACAGCTTCTAACCATTTCTTTTTAGAAATATTTTATTACCTGCTAATCATAACTGAACTAGAGACCCCTCCTGTGGCTAAGAAGTGTAGTTGCATGTCTAATGCTACCTTCAGAACTGCATTTTGTATCTTTGCTGATTAAGATGCATGAAAATAGGAGTTAGATATCAAAGCATGCACTCAGTATTTTGTGAACACATCTGGTGGCCATGCACGACAGGAAGAACGAGCCACAGGACCTCTGAGAGCCTAAGCTCGGAGGAGCACAGCACGCAGTGTTCTTACATTTGATCAAAAGTCCTCCCCTGCAATAAATACAAATTAAACCCAGAAAGCTCAAGTGTTCTCAAAGCATCTCAGCTGACCACAGTCCATGCAATTAGTTCCAAGCCTTGAAGGAGCTACTTCATTAAAAATCTGACTTAATTTCAACAGTATCTCAAGACATGCAGATGCCAGACCGTATGTGTTTATCAAACTATTACTTAAAAGCCCTTCCCTGAAGCACTTTCAGTGAATGCTTTATCTACTGATTCTCCAGGTGGGACCTGACTTTGAATTTTCAGCAGCAGTGGGAGTTTAAGAGCACAACTACCCACGTCAGAAAAGGAACCTTAGCAGTTCTCTAACTTTAAAAGCGTTTGCCCTCTTAAAAATCAGATTAAGAAAAATAGTGTAATATATCATTTGAAACTATTACCTAGCTATTTCTACCATCCTTTTGATGTGAGCATGGGTTTATTTTATCTACTTTAGGCAAAAAATAAGAGAAAATGTAGCTGCTATTTGCCAGCTGCAGATATTAGTTTGCTTCCAGTTCCACAGACAGAAAGCCACCCTGCAGCTCTCAGCAGGTACGTCCGCGCTCACTAATAGGAACCAGTGGCATAAAAGCTGGACATTTCTGGTTCTTCTCCCTGCATACATTCTCCCGCCGGCAAGCGAGCCCTTGGCAACGAAAGGCGAGCCATCCACATTTTCGCATAGGTGGCAGTTTGGGGTTAGTCATTTGCAGTACTTCACGACTACCGCACGTGGTTGTAAACACTTCCATAACCCAGCTTTGTGCTTCAGCCCACAGCATTACTCATCTACTAATTTAAACTTCCACAGTACCAGAGAAGAAAAATCATGTAAGCATGTTCAGCACTGAAATCACTGCAGAATTAACTAGGAAAAGATATTTATGATTTTTGAAGGTTTTTTAATTACAAGACTGTAAGGCAAGTTATGGAAAAAACCCCAAGATTTTGCTTTAAGATCAGGTGTAAAAGTTGCTGTCAAATATGGAAGTGTCTATGATAGGAAGCACAAATACTGAATGGTGAACTACTAACACTATGGACCTATGCCGTGCTCAATACTAAACTGCTATTTTATACTTTTTAAAACATCATTCACCACCTAGAGAACAACCTGGGGACATACCTCTTCTATTAAAAAGCATACCGCTGTCACAGAGGCTCTGCTAGAATTAAGACACCAATTTTAAGTGAAAACCCCAACAGTTCTGTATCAGCACTGGAAGCACAAATGGAGTATTTTCAACCATGGGTGACCTCAATACATACAAGCTTCACATGGCAAAAGCCAGAAATGCTTAGCTCCCGCTTAGGCTCCTGAAAAAAAAGCTGGCAGGTTAGCAGTAACAAGCAGCTCCTAGTCAGGCGTTTAAGTAGGAAGCACTGGATGCTGAGCTTCTCGCATTCTGACTTGATGACAGGTTTATTTATGCCTGATAGTAGGAGATTTGCACTGACATGAAGTGTTTCAAAAGTGTTTTAACAGTGAAAATCTCCAGATACACGAGAGCTACAGAAAATTTAAAGAGCCCATTGATTTAAGGGGTGAAGCACTTAAAGAATCCAACAACTAAATTTTTATGTTTAAAATAGTGAATTAAAAACAGATAGCATTCCAGCATGTTATCTCCAAATAAAATCCTGCATTTTGAGAGCTGTATAGAATTCTATGTTCCATGTACAATTATATTCTCTGGAAACAAAGATCTATAGCATGGCCTTCACTTATTTCCACCACAGAAAAGTATTAGCCTGTTGAATACCTTCATGCCAATTGTATAGGAACAAAAATTTAGATTTCTTTCCATGTGAACAACTTTGTATCTAGAATCCTCCAGAACACCACAATCTTTCAAATATCCTTTTGCTTAGGCCTAGTAAGTTTGATCTAAGAGCAAATGTTAGTAGGAGGTATTTTGTACCAGAAACTTAAAATCATAAATAGCTGTCATGTATGGATTCCCTATAGTGATTTCTGCTTTTCAGCAAAACTGCCTTACAAGGACTCGTTAATATGCTCATCCTTTTGGGAAGAACACAGTTCTTACTTCATTTAATAGACAGCAGCCAGCTATACCGGCCATATGCAAATTATAACGTAGAGAATTTACTTAAACTCCACGCCTCTCCACCCACCATACATATGATAAATCTGCACTTTGAGCCAACTTTAAATACAGAATAATGAACCAGTAATTATCTTGTACGTGAGCCAACACTAGTTTGTATTCTTCCCTGAATAACACTTTTTTTTTTTTTCAGAAGAGAAAAAAGGACTGCTACAGAAACACAGCAACATTCAAACCCTTTAAAACAAAAGGTAGATTATTTAATGCATTAACGATGTTAATCTGAAGATAAATAAATCCACAACAGACTTTTAAGTTTCTTTTGAGATTTCCTTTTTCTTTGCAGAGAATATTTCTGATATTATACAGTACTGGGAGGGTGTTCTTTTATTTTCTTAATGTCCAGGTGAAAAGCAAAGCTCAGTTCTCTCTGCTCTCTTCGTGGAACTCCTCAATGCCCTGTTCCAGGCGTGATTCTTTCATAAGCTGTTACTTGAAAGCGGAGTGGTGAGCAACATGAATTTCAGGAATAACTGGATGGTTTGGTCCCTGAGTCATCTTCTTGAGAGCCCATACTCTGGAAGAGAGAGAGTTATTTCTTTTCAAAAACAGGTCTGAAGGTTTATCTTTGAGACAGACTTCTTTGAAGTTAACAGGTAGGAAAATAAAGTGCATATGAAGTAATATGCACTTCCTTTTTGTTTTAAAGCATGATGTTTGTGCACATATTATTAATAATATGTAATTATTAACACTGTAAATACTGACATTCAGTGCAACACATATGCACTGCACTGAATCTCTTACACTAAATCAATTACCTTCTGCACAAACTGAGGGTTCACAGTGATCTCTTGATCCATGGCTTTCAGTCGTTCATCAAGCTCTATACATTTCAGCATCTTAAAAATATATATTAAGTTGATTACTTTGTCCAGCTTGAACGTGATCTTCAATATATTTCATGGCTGTGCTATTTAGAACCAATAACTTCTGCCATCATAAAAGCTCCATGTCAAAATGTTCTCATCCCTCATCTCCCAAACAAAAATGTCAGACCATTTTTTTATTCCATTATTTTGACCCATGTCTTCCTAACAATCCTTTTTAAGGCCACTGACAGAAAGTCCCATGTGGGTCAACCACCTCAGCCTACAGGCAGGTTACTGACAGCCAGTGGAAGAGATCCTTGAAATCTAAAACTCTAAAAACATTCTTTCTAATCCAGTCAATTCAGGGAACTTCACATCTCCAACATTAAGCAGTCAGTCTACTGAAACATCTCAAGCTGTACAGAAGATACAACAGGGAACGCATTGACAGTAACTGACTATCAGTCTAACACCTTTAAATACTGGTACTGGGAAACAGTTGAATAATGATTCCTCAATCTCAGTAATGATTCCTCAACCCCTACATGTAAGTTACCTACACTGGCTTCTCCCAGCAGCTCTCTGATTACAGACCAAGGTTGTTCAGTAGGAATTCCAAGAGCAGTTAGTATCTTAAACATTTACCTCCTGATCAATGTTATGAAGCATAGCTGGATTGTTATATTTTTCAGGATTATCATGGAAACAGACCATGCCGTCTTTCTGATTAATACTTGCAAAGATTTCACCATCTTCTATCTGAAATGAGAGAGGGTTTCATGTAAGGTATCACTAAGAACAGAATTTCAGGTAACTACAACACATGGACTCCTTGTGGAGTCATCTTTAACTTGTTTGCTCTTTATTTCCTAACAGTTTCCCAAAGACAAATGATGCATGCCTTATCTTAGGCAGAGGACATCCTTTAAGATTTTTTGAGAGCAGTCTAAACACCACAGCAGACTGACAGTATTTCCTTCACCCTGAAAAAGAACCATTCTTCAGCCATTCAGAACGTGCACTGCCAATCCAAACACTTAGAGAGAGTCTTAAACTGGATGTTTTGAAATTAGGATAGCTTAGCCAAGTAACAAGTCGTACCATGTGGAGGACGTATTTTTCTGCTTCCTGGGGCCCCGACAACTGCACTCGACTTGCCATGTCTTGTAATGACAATGTTAAAAATGTCTGAAATTTAGAAAGTATTAAATGGTTAAAACTAGATGCTGAGAACCTTCCCTATCAATCCTTCATGACCTACGCAATCTTATTTTGAAGTCTGATAGGAAGAAACAAGTGGATCACATAGTTATTACGTATAAAAGCACCATGAGATGGGAGTCAGTTCTTCCTCCAAAGATACCACTTTGTTATACTGTGCATCTATGCAGACGAAACTAATGGAGTCATTACTCCATTTCTGCAATTCCTTTTTACCCCAGACAAAGTCCTGACCAACCTCGTCCCTCACCTTTCTACATGAGTAAGGTGACTGTCCATCATTTCCTTCAAGAGAGAGATGCAGGTACTGCGTTGCTTCTGAGGTTAGTTCTACTGCAACAAACACCAAAAGACCTTTCCCTGATCATCTTTAAGGATTAATCTGATCTCTCAGCTGAAGGAGCACATCACTCCACTGCTGCTGTTTTTCCTTTTGCTTCAGATACTTCCAAAATCTGTCCCACTCACTCACTCTTCTCTAATGAAGTAACCCGTAAAGTTCAGGTTTCCTATTTTTCAAATAGAGATGAAGGTCATTTGGTAGCAGCACTCCCAACTTCTTTGATTATGTATGAAAATCTCATGGGCAAACCCCTCTGACAGACAGACATATTGAGCGACCTTTTAAATAATGCATAAGGAGCCAACTGAATTGGTTTTCTATAGAGAGCATTTTAGTCTCATTTGTTTCAGAGACACAAATCTCAGTTTTAGTAATTTCTCCGTGACATTACTACATTAACATTTTGCTCTGAATTGAATACATTTCAGAGAGACACTCTGAGAAAAACTAATCACAATTTCTCAGCAAAACAAAACCCCTACATCTTACCTTGGTTAGCCTCTGAATATTCTTTTTGTAGAGAGATGACAAGCATTGCTTAACCAGCCCCATATTGTTATCCCTTGTGAATGTTTCACTGTGTTTGTTCACCAGATTTCGAAGCTCCGAGGGTTTATTGGTTGAATAAACTTGCGCTAATTCATGGTAAGCATTGCTAAGGGGCTGCAATTAGAAAAATGAGAACCCTTCTTAAAGAACACAGTGTTCAACCAGCCTCACAAAATCTATTCACTACTTCAACGTTAGAAGCCGTGCAGGCATAAAAGTAAATTTAAGTAGCTCAAGCATCTCATAAAAAGTACGTGATGCCCACACATGGCTTTACAGCAATGATAGATCCTCATACACTACATCTGCATTACTGCAATATAAGATTTAGTAAACATCAGTCAAGGACCTCTGTATGACAGTTCTAGTTATGGCAGTGCAAGAAAGAGTCCATTAGCTGACCAGGCTATGACGTAAGCTGAACTCAAGGTGAGTAGCGTATTGACTAGTCACTGCCCACGTTTGTTCTACCCTCTAAGACACTGTCATCCTTGACCACAATGCATCACAGCATGGACAACAGGGAATCAGGGGGTGAAGACTAGTTCATCTAAATGACTTTAAAATGGCAATTGTTTGAGCTTGCTTATTAGTATCTGAAGTTAGAAGATTGTTGGAACTTTTTAAAATTTTGGTCACAAATCAACAAACTCAGTGTTAAATAGGAACTAACTTTTTAAAGTGTATTATTTACCTAGGATCAGAACTCTCTCGCTAGCAGTTTTATCTTCCACCCTACACCTCCTAATCAGAATGCTTATGGACTCCAAACTTGCAGCTTTTATTCTTTATAAAGCTGGAGTTTTGGAATAAACTATTTAGCATTTCATACTTCAACTAGATGAAGTTACAGGTTGAATGTTTTTACAAGGACACTGCATATTGAAAGCCATATGAAATCTGAGTCTTGTTTGAGTTTTAAAGTAAAATGCTATCAAGGGATGTGCAGTATCAGTGAAGAGAATATTGGTAAGTACTATTCAACCCTAAAGTTTTTTCAAATTTAAGTTTAAAAACCTGTATCACCAATATGAACAATACAGTTTGTTTGTAATAGATGTACTACTTCAACTTTTTCAGAAGCTTTTATTCTTTATAAAGCTGGAGTTTTGGAATAAACTATTTAGCATTTCATACTTCAACTAGTTGCCAGACAATCTTTAGCTATTGTACACTAGAAAGGCAGCAAGAGGTTGTACTCTGGCACATTGTGCCTTATTTCCCATGATGTGCAATGTTAAACAGTACTATCAAACGAGGGTAGAAAAAAATATCATTTACAAATTCAGGTTTGTTGTTCTATTATTTAGCTGTATTCGCAAGACTTACCTTAATGAATCTACCAACTATCTGGGAAGTGTATTTTGGTAGCTGCTGAACTTTGCCAAGTAGTATCAAAGAAACTAGAATATACTTTTTATATGATTCCAACATAATATGACTGACTGCCATGGCTGGAGTAGTTATTGCCTAAGCAAGCAAGAAAGAAATGGAATAGAAATTTAGTATACTTACTGGCAGATCCTGGTAGCTACTGCATTAACAAAAATCTCAGTTTAAAGCTGCATGCAGAAAGGATACAATGACATATGAAATTCACCTTTGAGCATTAAAGCTTAACTAACTTCTGTCAAAATTAATTATCCAAAAATGTCCTAAAAAAGTAAATTCTGTACAAGCTACTCAAAACATATCCTGTTACAGTGATGCCTACCTTAAAATAGCCCTGTTAAGATCAAATCAAAACTTTTCCTTGGTATGTATCTAAAGTTGTACTAGAAATCACCTGTAGCTACCTGTTACCAGGAGTGATTATACAGTTCGGGTAGAACCTAGATTTACACAGATCCTTAAAGAGGTTTTATGAAGCTATTACATCATGAGATCTCATATTTAAGTATGCTGAAAGAGGTCTGCAGAATCAGGGAAAAGGGATTTTTTTGTTTACTGTGATACTGCTAGCTACTCAAGAGCTGACCCTTGTTTACAGAAAAGAAAAATGCTGCACCAGGTTATTTTGCACATTTCACAGCATTTCCCTCTCACACACACACAAAGTTTTCCCAATTTTGTGATTTTTCTCTTCTTTCACAAAGTAAAAGTGGCAAATACTTTAACAGCCTTGAAGAAGTGTAACTCCCCTCATAAAATTAGCAAAGGTCTTAACAAAACCACTGAACTATTTTTTCTTTAAGAATACACAATTCCAAATGTCAGCCTGTGAACTGTTTCTATGTGAGCAGTAATAAGCAGGCATTTGAAAAATATTTATAGTGAGATAAATTTAACATCAACCTTTGAGTTGCATAGTTTTATGGTGCAATAGTTACTTGGCTGTAACAGACCTTCTTAAAGGAAAACACCTCTAAAGACAGTTTGCTTGTTACTTCACTTTATACACTAAAGAGTACCACTCAGGCTGTATCCTTATAAAAGAGCTAACAGTGAACACTAACCCAAATCAGTTTTTATGTATTACTATGATGAACACACATGCTAAAGCAAAACCTATGCGAATGATGAACAGCAGCATAGATCTGTTAGTAGAATTATATTCTTAAGGTTAAGAATGAAAATAATTGGAGACTGCTTGTACTTTATGTGAGGTTCACAGCTTTTATTGCTATCCTTGGTGGCAATTCAAAGATGGTAAGTTCTCTCAGTGCTATTACACATGCTACTTTTGCCTTTCAATTGATCACGCTTTAGACTTACCATTTTATTTAAAGTTACCTGTTCATAAAAGTAGAGTGCTCTTTCAAAGTTCTTTAGCCCAGTGTATATCATCCCACCATAGTAGTAGTAACATAAAAAGTGCTTCGCATCATATGCCCCATTCTCTTTACAAATATCCATCATGTCCACATCTAGATACGGGAGGGCAGGTTTAAAGCATTTTGCTAACAAACAGAGCTACAAGAAAATAAATCAAATTTTCATAAATTAGCCATTTCCATGAGGAAGAAGTTGAAACTGAATTCATCTAGTACTATTTAATAAATCTCACTCCTCCAAGAGTGAAAACAGTGCACATCAGTTGTGCTGTAACACAGATTATTCATTCCATCATGCTATTTGGAAATCCCTTAACACAGATTGTGAACTGTTATAAATTATCTGAATCCTAAAGAAATTAGACTCTGACAAAGCTGCTTGAAACTCCAGGCCTTCCAGACTACTGTGCTGGCAGCACTAAATATTGCACTAAACATTCCTGTCCAACCCTACATCCCAGGAGCCAAGGATGAGACAGAAGCGTAAATCCAGGCCAAAGACACTGAGACAAACATGCCTTTTGTCAAACTTGAGCAAACAGTATCTAGACTTATACTGCCTAAGACAAGCTGTGTGTGACTTTCAGCCCAGAGAGAAGGGATGTCAAAGGACTTTCAGAAGTCATCAACAAAACCAAAGATCTGGGGGCACGCGCTGAACATTTAAATTTAATAGAAGGGGATTTTATTTCAGTATATCATATTATTTATTACTGGGGGGAAAAAAACACACAAACACTTATAAGCCATTTTTACATTGCAATATGTGAACATGTATTTCCTCAAAAGGTTATAGGTATTTTATAAGCTTTTACTCTCATAAAAAGCCCTTATGCTCCCCTTACCTGGCAGAGATCTGCGTGTATTGAGGTCAGCTGGTTTGTGTTCATCTGCATCTTGTCTATGGCTTGTCTGAGAATGCTAATTCCTCGCAGGGGCTGTCAGAAATTACATCTCTTTCAGACAATTTCTCATAGATGGCAGCACATTGGATCTTATGTTGACACTTACAAATGAAAAATAACACTAATTGACAGGTTCCATTAAGTGATAGTTGACCTGAGGTTCCCTTTTTGTAGGATACTGCAGTTCTCAGAAAATAAAATTAACCTTGGCTATACAACTTCTCCTGATAAACTGAAGTCATCAATTCTGCTCCACAAAGCCAGCCTCATCAGGAATATGGTAATTTGTATCGACAAGATAACCTTTCTTGACTCCATGATGCCATCTAAACTCCCACCAAATAACAAAGGCAAGGCTCTCACTTTACTCCACTTAAACCAGATTTGATCTCTACTTCTATTTCAGGCTAGATTTCACTAAAATGGCCTGCAAAAGTCAGTATCTTAGCAACAAAAACATTGGTCAAGTATTTCTTAATCAAGTTTCCTTTACATTTTAAGGCATTTCATTAAGAACATTATGTAACACTGGCGAGAATAACAGTGAAACTAGTATCACTGACTCACCAGCGCTAATAATTTTTGCAGCTCTCTCCTACTCATGCACACATTGTCTGAAGAACATTCTTGGTACTACAAATTTCCTAGTTCGTGTGCGAGAGCATGTTTTTAGGTGACTCTCCCAAAGAAAAAAATTATCTTCCTTACATTTTCCTTATAGAAACCTTTAAAATCCTCGTTTACGTTCGTTACCTCTCGGTAAACTTAACAAGTAAGGAGCTGCACAAAAATACTTAACGTTAAGTTAGTGGCAAATCTTTATGAAGCGAGTAAGAGACTGGTAAGGTCCCCTTTAAGAGCTTGGATAGGTAGGTAGCTTATTTGTACTAGATGATACTTGCTCACCTGTTTTCTCTCCACAAGGGCATTTGTTAACTGGTGGCACAGGCCAGCAACTAAATACAATAAAAAACAAACAAAAAATCCAACACAGTGAAAAATCAGTAATATCAAACTATCAAAAAACATATAAAGTCTGAAAGTAAGCTTAACTTACAAGTGTCTGTTGCATATCTAATGTGTTCCCCATTACAAGTGCTGATAAAAAGCTGCACCTGTGAGAATAATGTTTCGAAATCAGGGATGCTGGGCATAGAAAACTTCACAAACCTAAAATAAAAACAACAACAAAAAAGGTTTAACACTTAACACTTGGAGATTAATAAAAAAGCTTCATCTTCATCGCTAAGTCTCTGCAGGTGCATGTAGATGCTTGCAAACAAATCCAAAGTGTTTATGACAGATGGCATACGATTTCCCCAGGAGCTGCACAACATTTGCAAATACACTTTCTGTGCACACCCCCATTCTCAATCTAGTGCAAACTACAATTTAGAACAAACTATGGCCAACAAAGATCATTTTATCTGGTACAATAGTTACAATCATAATAGAAACACTGGCTAACGATGATGACTTGTAATAGCCACACAACTTCTCTGGACACTTTTGCCTATCCTGCAGCCATCTCCTGCTTGAATGTGCTCATGATTTCTCAACTATTAAATTACTAGATGTATTCCTCTTGTTAGGAGCTCTTTCTCTTCACTTCCAGTTTCTCTCCATCTCTGGTGGTTCCTTAGCACCCTATAGGCTGTAGCCTTGCACATTGCTTCTTCTGTGAGATGAACTATGGTAATGCTCATCTGAGGGCAGTGAAACGTCTAGCTATGCATCCTACAAATGTCACGAAAACATACAGAAAAAACTCCGTTTAATGCTGTTGGAAGGTACCCAACCCTGCCCATACTTCAGTTGCTAAACACTGTAATGTATGCTTCAAACCCACCTAGATCATGAACTGTCCCTCCCCACAAGGCTTATCACTGTCCAGGTGACGTGCTGCCACCCCTTCCCTGTCTCTTCAGAGTCTTACTCTACCAGCGTAGCAGTTTGCCATGCCACAGTTTCAGCCAGAACTTTACTATATGCTCCACTGAAACCACCTCTTGAAATAATACATTTTACATGTTATTTCTTATAAACAGTTATCTTCCTTCCTCCACCTGTTTTAATGACTGTTTTCATGTACCTCATGATACGATTCTTCTGCTAACGCAGTAACTGATGCCCTGTTTTTTGTAAATTCCATAATGCATTTTTATGAGACGGTAGTGAATTGTAATATTAAGTGCATGATCTCTATGTATTACAGTCATTTTGTCTCAAAAGGGTAGTAGAACAAGTACTAGAATTCTGGTCTTTCCTTTAAAAGAGAACTTTAAAGTAACAGTGAAACCCATAGATGCTTTACTTGCAGTTAGGTACAGTTAGAAAAAACAGTTTGAGCTTCAAGGCCAAATACCCTTACCTTACCTCAGCATCACTAAGGCAATTCAAGTATTATCTTAAACTACAGAGAGCTGCGAGAGCCTCAAGGCAGTCTAGAGACAAATACCCAGGAACTATGATAAGAACCCATGCTTCACCAGAAAAAAAAGTGTTGCTTCACGCTTACAGTTTAGCGCACTAATGCCCTGCCAACTGAGTTTTAAAAGCTAGTTTTATACCTTTTTGCTGAACACATATGGAAAAATACTTACAAAGGCACAAACAAGAGAAATGGATACAGCCTTAAGGAAAACGAACCCCCAATGTTACCATTTGACAGTAATGGCATTTACAAGCTCCAGAGGTTTTTTTCTCTTGAAAATACAAATTTGCCTTGGTATTTTTGTTAATAAAATGTGCATCACCAAAGGAAACTAAGCACCATTCTAAGAAATGCAGATTGAAAACATTTATGTCCAAAAGAAAAACATTTGGTTGACAATTCAGCATGTTGCCTGAAGTTTTAATACTGAGATATTTAATTAAAAGAAAGCAATACTTACAAGACAGCAAGAACGCCTAATGAGTGTTCCTGCACATCCAGGGCACCAAGCACTGTATCCAGATGGGAAAGATTTTTTGCTAGCAGTTCTCCGCTTTTATTGATCAGTTCACAAAGCTGGGTCATTTGCCCTGAAATACAAAACATCACTGTCAAACACTAATTAGAGAACACTCATGCATTCCCATACCTCATTACACCTGCTGACCTACATAATCTGAGGGAAAAGTAGTATCACACAGAGAATTTACTTTTCTGTAATACAACAGGCATTAGTTTTCAACAAGCAAGGTACCTGCAGTATGATTTTTTTATAAGGTGACAGCTAAGCTTCTGGCCTTTGGGACTGGAAAGGAAACCCTCAGAACACAAACACAACATGAGAAGCAGCAGCAGCTCGCCTCATTAGAGAGGGGGCTTCAGGGTCTTGTATCAGAAAGGGGGCTTCAGGGTCTTGTATCAACACCAAGCGCACCTAAGCCAAGTCTCCAAAACTTTGACCAGTGTACTGTGATGCAAAATTTTGCCTCATGTGGATACATGTATCTACACTTGGGTCTTCTAGGTGTTATAAGGGGGAAACCAAAACAGTACCAAAAGTAGTTTCCTCCACTTTCTAAAAAATCCCAGTACCAGAGCTTGTTCTTTGCTGCTTCTCAAATGCCCTATCCACTTTTCAAGGTCTGCTCATAAGCATTTTTTTTTGAAGTAGACATTAAAATTACAACTAAGTATCAACAATAATAGCATTTAAAAATCTGTTCTTAAATTTACTTCGTATAATTAGAACTACAATGTTATTCTACTCATTGGGAGCTATGAACACAGCATGAAAGGCAACTATTTTGAATTATGAAGGTATGGTAAGCCCAAAAAACCTTACAAAGAAAGCAGACCGATTATCATTAACTGCTTTCAAAGTCTTCCCCTGCAATTACTTTAATTAAAACTACGTCTTTCTGAAGCAGACTATTGTCTCAATGTTTAATCCTTGCGGGCTAGAGAGAAAAAACAAAGGTTCTCTCACCCTTACAAAAATCTTCATAAAACGAGGAATAGTGGCTCCATTCATAGAGATTAACACTATTGTCAACTCTCTGTCCTTTTCCTTTGAAAAAGAAAACCTGGGAAGCCCTAGCAATGAAACGTTAGTTTTGAAGTAACAGAGGGATCAAAAGTTCCAACTGTGGAACCAGAGCCCAGGACCTCCAGAAACTCATCCCCAAAACAGCGCTCTCCACACAGAATTAAAACTCCAGGCATAAGCACGGAAAGGAATAGGGCTTGTAAAGCGCTCTGCGGTTTAATTCAAGCATTGCAAAACCTTAGTTCTGGTATCCTCCCTAGCATAGAAATCCACCCGTTCTACAGCTATCATCTAGCATTCCCCTAAAAAACAAAGCAAAAAAAAAAAAAACCAAAACAACCCTCTACCCACAAACACACACTGAGCAACTCACACAGTGTAAGCAGAAATAGCCACACCAGGCCCAACTAAATGTCCATTCATGTCACCTCCCGTGCGGGCAAATGCTGATAACCAGAAACCAACACCACCACAAGTACACAGACTTCTCCCGTGTGCTCTCATAACCTCCAGCAGCCTCTCTGGTGTCTGGATTTACTCTCTCACAGAGAATGTCTATCTGGCTCATCCTTAATGGGAGAACTTCCATAAAGTCAACCAGTCTCCTCTTGAACCTTTTGCATCTGCAAAACCTTGTAATAAAAAGTTCTCCTGCTGAATTACATGCGTACAAAGAATCACCTTTCATCTCGTTTGTACCTGCACCTTGCAGGTATCATTTGTCTCTTGTATCGGATATCCCCAGTAAAAACAGTCGTTATTTAATAAGTTCAACCGAAGTAAGAGAAAGTCGGAGCTCCACCCAAAAGTAACTGCCAGAGATGAAGCCTGGGGCCATAGAGGAAAGCATCAATTCTTGATCGGTTCCAGGGAGCAACCACCCCATGCAGAGAAACACTCAGAACGCCTTTTAGGGAGCATCGACGCAGACAGAAAGTTCAAGAACTAGGAAAGGCTATGCCCAGACACAGGAGAATCAGGGGTTTAGCAATGAAACTGAGGAATTCTAACTATGGTTATTAAAACACTTTCTGAACACTTGGTTATGGCAACTCTGATGTACAGTCTCAGGCCTCCTATCGTAGCTTCCGTGGGAAGGCAGGACTGCTCTGTCCATGCTCCGCTTTGTCCCCAGGAGCTAACGCTTCTGAAAGGTATTTTAGGACACACACGCCGCACTTGCATGCCCATCGCTTAGGCGACAGGCTGGGCTATGTAATCCCAGTTAAAGTCCCTCTGATGCCCGCTCCTCCCCCCTGATTTTCAAGGCTCAGATTTTGGCAGGGCCGCCGGTGCCGGCTCCACTCCCGTCACCCGGGACCCCCAGCTCCCGAAAGCCCCTACCTTGCCGCTGCCCCGGGAGCGGGAGCGAGGAGCGCTGTGCAGCCGGCCCCTCACGCCCTGTCAAGCCAGCGCCGCCCGAACCCTCCGCGATCCCTCCCAGGC